TCTGTAGATGTAACGGACACTTACTGAGTGCCCGCTGTGCGCTGGACACCAGAGGTACTCAGTGTCCTGTGGCAAAATCACCACACGGTGTGGTTCGCGAACACAGCTGGTGAGGGAGATAACAAAGAACCAAATAATTTGCTGTGATTGAAGGGCTCTGAAGGAAAAGATCAGGTGCCAGGCGCCCCTCCTGGGAAGGCCCTGGCTATTTTCTCGTCCCCAAGTTGCAGCTAGTCAAGAGTAGGAAGAGCATGCCGGGGAATCGCTGTACTGCAACGATCCTGGCCTAAACGTGAAAACACTGGCGCCTTCCCAGGTAAAGACCAGAGTGGAAAGAAACCAGCAATCAGAAAAGCAACATCATATGGGAAATGGCGGCCTAAGAACTGATAGACGAGATTAAACTGCAGGGCCCACGGCGCCTCCACTTCATTCTGTGTGCAATGAGGCAACCAAAAAGTTGCTGTGTGTGTGTATGTGGTATTGAGTACTGAACTCGGAACTTTGCGCTTGCCACGCAGGGGTTACGCTGCTGAGCTATCTCCCCAGCAAGAAAACTGCCACAGATATTTCAAAAGTGTCAGGTTTTCTTGGGCGCAATGGCAGTGGTGCAGTAGAGAAGCGGAAATACGGGGGAGGGGAAGCTTTTATTAACTCTCAGGACAGGGAGAGGATGGAGTGCAGGGAGATGGGCAGATCCTCTGACCTGAGACAGGGAGGCGAGACAGACAGGGAGGATGACGCTTTCCGGACCTTTGCTGGGGCGGAGTTTGGGGGGCAGGTTTAGTGGCACACAGGGGCTGAATGAAGGCTCCCCAGTGTGTGCAGGAGGGAGGTAAAAGGAAGTTGTATCCAGGGCTGGAGTGGGGAAGGGGGGAAGTGGTCACTGGGAAGATGAGCTGGTGTCTTGGGATGCAGCCAGCTGGATGAGCGCCTTGATAAGTTAGCCGCCTGCACTCAGCCGGAACCCACCGCAAAGGTCACTGTGTGAAGGCTGCACTGACCGCACGAGCACAAATACGAAAGGTGGGAACGAAGCAGAAAACCGTAACACTGCTGCATAGAGGGAACGCAGCAAAGGCAAGCAAAAAGCTCCGCTGCCTCGCGAGCGACTGTTCAACACTCCTTTTAGCTCCGGCACTTAATTTATACTTACTACATAAAGCCACTTTACATAGCAATTCCACAATAATCATTGCAAATTACTGAAATTATTAGTTCTGTAGCCCAAACTCCCATCAAATAATATCTTGCAGAGTTTATAACAGAAACATAACATGAAAATGTAAAACCACAAGGGAAAAATTTCTGGACTTTCCTGAAACTTAAGTTACTTTTCATATTGATCCTGCTCTCTTACCTTACTGCATTTTGTAAATATGGTAACGAAACAACAAAACAAGGAGCTGGGGAGACAGCTCAGTAGAATAAGCACTTCCCTGGCAAGCACAAGGGGCTGAGTTCAATCCCCGGTTCAGCCAAAAAAAAAAAAAAAACAACAAAACATTAAGCTATACTTTCTTTACACTTATATTGCAAATAACTTTAATAACATAAAAATTAGAAAACAAAGGAAAAACCTCACTTGAAAAATAATCCCTTTCCAAGGTGAAGAATGTATAACTATATACTGGGGTCCCCCACAGCCTATATACCATGTTCTCTGGGCAATTACAGAACAAATATTTACCAAGTGTTCGGTGTGCTAGAGTTACTTTTGTTAGGTTCCATCATTAACTTCATTAAACAGAAAGACATGGCGGTTGCAAAGCCTCCTTTAGCATGGGCCTGCTTAGAAGCAGCAGCCTAGTTTTCTAGACCGATCACGTTATTCTCCCCTACTCTGCCACAGCACAGTGGGAGAACTGGGAGAGGGAAGAAGTGAGCTTCCTTAGTGGACGTGGCTAACGCGACAAGGGAACAGATTCCTCAAGTTACAACATACGCACGTTTGCAGATACAAAACGAGTGTCACGGAACTGGATCTTTCAATCTATTAATGTGCCTCCAAAGTTGACTGTCTAGTTATTTTTCTCTCGTTCCTGGGACAAAACACCTGACACCCAAAAGGAAGAAAGGAATTGAGCTTGCAGCGGAGGTTCGGTCCACACTCAGCTGGCTCCGTGGCAGAGCAGAGCAGTTCACGGCAGCAGAAAACAGCAGAAGAGCAAGAACAGATGGAGGAGAAGCACAATGGCAGCAGAGGGCAAGTGTGTCTCCCTCATGCTGCACTCGGGCCATCCGCCCCAGGCTGGATGTCGCACTGGCACCCATAATCCCAGTGGATCATAAGTTAACTACAAACTCTACACGTGTGCCCCATGACCTACATGAGGCTTTGCAGGGACGGCTAGACACAAACCATAACTGACTTTGACACGCTTCATAACGTGCATTACGAAGCAGCACGGTGGCACGTGCCTGTAATGTAAGTCAAGCCAAGAGAATGAGGCAGGAGGACCGCCATAAGTTTGAGACCAGCTCTGTAAGGAGTTCAAGGCTAGCGTGGATTACATAGTAAGACCCCGTCTCAAAACAAAAACAAACAGTTGCTATCCTCAGTTTACCTTCCAACATTTAGCAAGTCTCTTAGGAATATCCCTCAATTCCTTCCTGTGCTAAGCAGGACAGCTCAAATGAATCTTTAATGAATCCAGGTGGTGTCTACTTGCCGCTCTCACTAAGAAATCACACTGCATCCATTCACACTTCAGAAATTAGCAGCACATTAGCAAAACTGGTGACAACTAGAAAAGGTCTGCTCCTCTTGTGTCACTGAATATAGATGTAAGCTTCCAGTAGTGAAAACAACTGAAGGGAAAGACCTACATGCTGCGATTGGTCAACAATCATCCGTCAAAAAAGCTGAGGAAAAAGGTCAATAAAGCATTATCAGAAAACTGAAATCCTCGGTATGTGTTCATGTAACTCCCCATCATCTATTTAAGACTTTCAATTAATAATTTATTATCCTATAATGACCAAAAACCAGCTCTGCACATCAAACTGATCAGTACAAAAATCTGTTTCTCCCAGTGCCTTTTCTAGGCAGCTATCAACTTCTGGGTCAACCATTACTGAGCAGTTATGCCTACTGAACTCTAAAGATTAATGACCTCTCCACAGCTTCTGTGTTATCCAAAACTCATGTAAGTACAGCTCAAAAGTATCAAAACATACGGGCTCCTCCTGTGTTCCTTCTAAATAAATCCTCTACAGCATTGATTGTTTTGGAAAAAGTGCTTTACAACTCGAACGAACAACTCATCTTTTCCTTGGATTCGGTGTGGACATGGGGTCACCTCCCAAACGCATAGTAACATTGAACTGCCAATTTAAGTGTGTTAAGTAGAACATTAAAAAGCCAACAAGGACATGGGGACAGTGCCCAGGAATGTATTAGTTCTTTAAAATCAAGCCCGACACAGTAGAAAGCAGATTCTTGCTCTTGTGGGACTGGGTTAGTTCAGCACAGGAAGCTGTCAAGGGAGGGTGCCCTTGTGCTGTCCCTTTCCTGTGTACCAGCCTGCTCTTACACTTTCTGCCACGAGTTCAAGCTGCACCTACACCAGGCCTTCTGCCGCTCCTGGATTTCCCAGCCTGCAGAAAAATGAACCAAGATAAAGCTCTTTTTAAATCACCCCATTGGAGGTACTCTGTGACAGAAAAAAGACACAAAAATGCACATGGATACATTCATACAAAATGCAACTCACTTTCAGAACATTAAAAAAGGGCCTTATGCTTATCTGGAGTTTAAGTTAACAACTTGTTACAAAATCAGGAGGAGGGGTTCTTTTGAATGAACTGCAGAATGAACTGTGACAGAATTGTTACAAAAAGGACAGAGAAAGCATTGTCAGTGAATGTAAGAAAATGACAAGCAAACCTGAGCTGACAGTCACACCCACACTGTGAAGCCTCCACCATCACAGCAGTGCTCGTTATCTGCAAATACTTGAGTAAAATGATACACTAGGCAAGGTTAAGAGATAGGATGGTGCCCAAATGGTGCCCAAACTCACGTCTTGCTCTTGTGTAGCTGTCGAGCGCAAAGGCAAATGCAAGCAAGCAAGTATACTACTGAATGATTTAAACAGAGATGATACTAGAATAGAAATCTGCATGAGCGCCTATGAGAAGAGAACCAAGTTGTGACTGAACTTCACAAAAGAGTTCCCCTAAAGTAAAGCTGTAGTGAAATCTACACAGTAAATAAAGAATCTTTGCAGAAATGGGGTGGAGAGTAGCTACCATAAACTTCGCAGATTAAAAGAACCACTAATAAGCAGAGGTTATGCAATGAAAGCAACGTGAGACTAAGCTATTTATTCAACAGTACTAGGAAGACACTGATTCTCTCATTACCAGCTTTCTTAGCCTGCCATTTATCTCCTTGTAAAAATGATACAGTACAGTTATGATAAAATGGCTCAGAGAATTTAGAAAACATACGTGAAGCACTTAGCAAAATGCTGTGGCCCAAATGTCAGTGATGACAATTATAGTCAGAGAAGGAGTTGTGCAAAATATTGTTAAGCAGTGGATTAATTCAGCTCCTGGGGCAGGCAAAACTGCATGAATACATAAGCAATTTAAATATTTTAATGATGCCTGCTCTTCACATTTACCGATATAAATGTGATAAACAGCTGCATTTAGATTTTGCATGAAAGTTTCATCCGTACTGGTGAACGATAGGGAATGCTTAAGTAAAACAAGCTGAAGTTTAAGTCAAAAGGAAAATAATTTCACTCTGCTTTAGACAAAATATTATACGGATCACCAAAAATTTAGAATCTTTTTTGTAGAAACCTGTTAATATTGCAGGGAATATATTTTTCAGATATACGCTCTCTCAGATACTCCAAGTCCTGAGTTAAATTTTTTCAAAATTGCACTATCTATATTATCTTGCCTAGATTGAATTACCCAACAGTTGAGAACTGAGTTAAGAACTCAGGGAACTTAACTTCTAAGCCACAAAAATGTGAAATTACCTGGAAAACTAGTCTTCATGACATCAATTCCAACTTGTAGCTCAGGTTCTGCAGCCAGCACCGCGTAGTCCCCTTGATGGGAAATGTTAAAATTGAAGTTGGGATAAGGGTTCATAGAGTCCTTTGCGAGAACTGGTTTTCCTTTTGCAGTTCTTTGCAGACGAATATTATTCCACGGAATATTCAACTTCTCTGCAATTAATTTCCTTATCATCAGACGACCAGCCTGTTATGTATATAAAAATCAGATAAATATTGATGTCTAGTAAACATACACATGACATTGTTTATATCATATGAAGCATATTTCTGTTTCCTGAAATTTTAATTGTTTTGAAAGTACTTAAGCATTAAATACAACGCGTTAGGATTAAAGAGTATTTTTGCAGTTTTTTAAGACAGGGTCTTGCTGTATTGGCTCAGGCTGACCTTGAACTCCCATCTGTCCTCCTGCCCATCTCCTTCCTGCCTCAGCCTCCCAGGCCTGGACTTACAGACAGGCACCACCACACCCGGCTGAGAGTGAGCAAGACTGAAATGCAAGTTTAAGACTTAATAAACTTAAAAACTTTGCTAGCAATTTCTCCCCTTAGTCAATGTTAATAACAGCCCTTTTCCCAGTCTTTAAGTATGCAAACATATATTCTTTTGCCTATTTTTCTTAACTCTTTACAGAAACTGATATGAATTCATATAATATGTAGTACTGTATTAACTATTAACTTTTTAAAATTTGTTTTGCTCTATTTCCTGAGATAAGGTCTCACTGTGCAGCCCAGGCTGGCCTGGAACTCACACCTCCTGCCTCATCCTCCCTGGGATTACAGACACCTGAGCCACTACACCCAGCTTTAAACTTTTTAATTTGCAAGTACTGGGGACTGTTTTATATCTAACATCATCAGTCAGGTCTGTGCACCTTTAACAGTAGCATACTATTTCACAGTATGGAGGACTGGCAGGGCTGCTATTCCCCTATTACTGGGCATTTCAGGCTGGCTCTGGTTTTGCTGTCCTAAGTCTACAAGCAGCAGCCCTACTGGACCTACACCAGTGCAGATATGCAAGTATTTCTAGACACTGTATAGATTCCCTTGCTTCAAAAATTAGCATAACTTTCACCTTCATTAATTACTCCAAGGAGTGAATGGCTACATGCACTTTATAAAAAGTATATTTGGGTTTTCACTCCACCAATCCTTTCTTTGGAGGGGAAAGGGGTATTAGGACTCGAACTCAAGACCTCATGTTTGCCAGGCAGAAGCTGCACCACTGAGCTAAATCCTCCGCCTCTTCATCAATTCTAACGCTGACTTTTCAAAACTACAGGACTTTCAAATCCACTCATTTCCCGATTTCTTACAATTTTAATAAAGTGGAAAAACATATTCCAGTAGGCCTTCAAAAAGGTATCAACTAACCCATCTTTCAAACAGAAGTATTTTTGACTTTGCAGCGATAGTGGTGGCTGCCTCAAATCGCACTACATGGTAAAAAACGTTTATTTTTAAATACAACTTGCCATTTGTTGCCAGAAAATACGTAACTAAACCGCATGCACGTACGAAAAACAGCGGCCCAAGGCACCCAGTCGGAGGGTCTGCCCAGGACCGCATCCCGCCCGCGCCCGGCTTCGGGCCTAGGCCTCCCCCAGCGCCTCGGCACGCAGGGCGCAGGCTCAGCCTACCCTGCCGGGACTTTCCGAGGCCTAGCGCGGGCACGGCACCCCGGGACAGAGGTGGGACACGTAAACGGCGGACTAAGCATGGGCTACCAACAAGCAAAAAGAAAAATGCAATTTGATAAAATTTAAACCTAAAAATATAAGGGACCATCCACAACGGGAAGAAAAACCTATCACTAGGTAGGCCTTCTGCAGACTTATACGATTTAGCAGGGTCTCCCCCGTGCAATTGCACGGGGGAGGCCCCGGCTCTCCAGGCCCGCGGCCCCGGGGCGCACAAAGGCCGCGGAGGCCCGGCCCGGCCCACCTCCCGCGCCTCAGCCTCCAGGCTTCCGAGCACCAAAGACCTGCAGCAGTACCATGGCGGCCTTAGCGTCCCGGGCAAAGACGAACTGGCCAATGCGCTCCTTCTCCTCCGGCTGGATCGATCGCACCGCCAGCAGCCATTCGGCTCGGCTCGGCAGCCAAGTGCCGCAGGAAAAGGCCCAGCGCACGCCTTCCATGGATGGCAGCGAGCGGAAGCGTTTGGCGGGGAAAACCATGCACACAGCAAGCGAGCCTCCCGTCGATGGCGCCGACGCCAGCGTGGCCCCGCCCCTTTCTTGGTAGCGTCCGTGCGCGGGGGGCGGGGCGACGCGCGACGGACGCCGGCACGTTGCCCCGCCCCCAAGGCGGCGGTCTTTTCTAGGAGCGCGCGGCCGAGGGCGGAGACGGGACCGACTTCGGCGCTCTGCGGCATCCCGTGACGTCACGTGGGCGTGGCCCTGGCGCGAAGGGCGGGACCACAGGCAAGAGCCGGACCGTTATGCCACTCACGCCCGCAGAAGTGCTAACGGGACAGCGGTGCGAGCCAATCGCCGCCAGTGCTCCGGAGGCCGGGAGACTGGGGTGGAGACTTCGGAGGCCGCAGTTGCAGGTGGGTGAGCTCTGGGGTTTGCGGGAGGAGTGGGATTGTAGCGTCTCACTTCTGGGGACCCGGGCTGGTGCCTTCGACCCGCAGAGAAGGGGGCCGCCTCGGCTCTAGCGAGTCCTGAGGCTCCTGCGAGCTCCCAGGCAGGAGCGCTCGGGGCCCCGGAGTTGTGCAGCGCGCGGCCCCGAGTTGCAAGCACCCGCGCCTCGCAGCCCCGGCCCAGCCTCCTCGCCAGGAACCTGCCCTCGCCGCGGCCCCCTTCCCCAGCAGCCGTCCCCGTGCGAGCTGCCCGCGGAGCCGGCGGAGCCGAGGCCCGAGTCCGCCGTCAGCCCCCTTCGCTGCGGCGCTGGGCAGCCTGGCTGGCCCGCGAGCGAGCGCACGAGGCTCCTGTCGCTGAAGCCCCAGCGATTTCATCCAGAGGCCCTAAGCTAAGGACCGCAAAATCCAGTAACTCACGTAGGCGGCCCTTCCAATTCACTCTGTGCCTTGACCCGAGACTCGCTTCTCAGACTTGAAGAAGAGTCCTACTGGTAGGTCTGCTCCCGCAATTGTTCCTTGTGCACGGTAGATGCCTTGTCCAGAAGCCACCTTAATCGCTGCTGTCCCCTCCCGGTGTTGGCCCAAGGAAAAGTTGGTCTCTGCAGATGAATATTAACACCTCGCTGGATGGTAGATGGAACGCTCCAAGGTGGCATTCGGCTTATCCCCGTCTTCCTGGAAAGATCCAGCGAGTAATAATCATTTCTGTTATCTTAAGTTGGATTTTATTCAGTTTTTCACGTATATTTATTTGCTCCCCTTCCCTTTTTTGATATTTTGAGCCTCGAATCCTTTGCAAGTAGATGGAATTTTGCGCACGTACACCGGGGCACACACCCAGGTCCTCTTGAAGGACAGTGACATTAATTACAGACTTGATACATCAGCTAATGCCCAAAGCCCGTGTCCAGTGCCTGGCTTAAGATCTGCTTAGCGCTGGAGTGAGCTCACCCGCTGTCTGGCAAGGCAGATGAAGCACACACATAAAAAGCTACGATAAGTGTAAAGGTGTCGAAGGTGTCAGGGCCCATACCTGCAATGATTGTCATTCAGTTTTCCCTAAACGTATGTAAGCATTTTTTATAACTTCCCGTGTTTTTGAAGTGATTTTATAATTTTGTTGTATTTTCTGTTTCCAAAACAGTAGTATGTCCATTGTGTATTCTTTGTGTATTAATTGTTATTAGTTCGAGAGAACCAGCTCAGCAGGAATTTGTGGGTGGAAAATTCTAAATGCGAGTTGAACAGGTCATATTCCGCTATTTTACTACTGAACTAAGCTGAGTGTATTAGATCTGTACAGCCTCATATGCAGACAAGTAGGTGGTTCTTGTATTTTTTTTTTTTCCCTTACCTGGAATATTCTCACATTTCTCTGTCACCACAGTCCTGTTCTCCTGTGTCATTCAGGCTCAAATGTCAGATGAAGAGAAGTGTCTGCTCACTCAAAAGTAACTGATTTCCTACCTCCCATCCCTAACCCAAG